ATAGGAATTGTGATGGGTTGGAAAGATTGCGAGACGAGGTCTGCGACGAAAGAAAGATGGAATGAAAGAAAGTTTGAAGGAAAGACAGCACGAAAAAATGAATGAAGGAAGCAAACGATGCACCATGGCATGAACGACCTTTTCAGTGAATGAATGAAGGAATGAAGGAATGAAAGAATGAAGGAATGAAGGAATGATCGAAAAAATGCACTTGCAAACCCGCATGGCAAGAGCGTCGCAACAAATCGACAAACATGTGCGGAACGCTGACAATGGTGACGACTCCGCGCTGCTCTACTCCGCGCTGCTCTGGCGTTGCTTGTTTTTTACATTTTGTTATGTGAAATCGAGCGCTTGCGACGACGCCGTGCACTTTTTCGACATTTCACAACTTCCAAAAGTGCGTCGAACGCCTTAGTCTTTACATGATAGTTTGAAATGCAAAGCATGCTCTCGCCATACAGTCCTGTGTATTTGTTTCGCCTACGACATTCCTAGATGGAGGCCCGCACCCGCGGAAACAGAGACCGTCCTCCTGCTGCCACGGAAGCCACTTTACCCGAAAAAAACACAAGGTTTCGTGCCAAGAGCGTTTTTCACCCGTGAATGCTCATGCGTGCGATTCCATGACAATAGACCATGATATGATGACATGAGGATGATGATGAAGATGATGATGGTGATGATGACGACGATGATGATGATGATGACAACACCTGACAAGATTGCCCTGTGATTCAGCCGTAATTCGGAAGTTTGTGACCTAAACTTCCTTTGGAAAGTACAACGTCCTATGGACATCAATCAACAGGAGTTTTGAAAACTCCTCGCCTTAAGATCTTGGGCCGTGTCCACTTCAACTTCTGCGGCTGTGAGGTCTATATGCCACACTTGTTGCAACAGCAGCTCCTCCACGATGCAACGGTTCCGAAGGTGCCTGGATGCGTTCTGCAAACGAGCAAGGGAACGAGCGCAAGGTAGATGAAGTCTAAGATTTTCTGGTAAATTTCACGGGTCGCAAGGCCACTAAAGTTGCCAGCCATTTGAACCACTTGTTCCCATGCTCCAGTTTGTCTTCTTTGGCTTCATCAAGTAGTCAGTCGCTGGCTGCAGTCATATTTTAATTTTTCCTGACTGAAGTCATGTTCTTGGAACATGATGTGATGTGTTTGTCTGAAGATATGTCTGCATGGCTTGCGGCGGTTCTGTTTTGTTTCTGCATCCGTATATTTGATTCATGATTAAGGTTCGTGTGATTTGCGCATCCAACGGTCTTTGGACTGCAGAAGAGGAGCAAAAGATCAGCGCAAAAATGCGCCCCGAAGCGGAAGGATTTTCGAGTTACATACAGAACAATTAGCAGGTTTTATTATTATCCTACTCAACCTATCACTTGCCAGTTACAAATAAACTTTCGGCAGCCGTTTCTTCGATTGGACAAACTATGCCATACCAGAGTTAGCTGTTGCATTGCATGGTCAAGTCTACGGCAATCACAAGGACATGACCGCAAAATTCGAATGCCAAAACAAAAAGAAAATACGAAAAAATAGTGCATTGGTTGTTGATTTAGCTTACGGAATTCTGAAGGCATCCTGATGATAATATCCTTTATTACTTTATACCCCCAAGCATTGCATGGTTAGGTTCAATTTTCAAACAATGTGGATTTTCTCAACCTGCTTCTTGTACACTACATCACAATGGTTCCATTTACTTTGATTAATTCCTTATATGTCTTGGTTTCGGATTTTTTTCAAATTATTTAATTTCCATGTTGTTGGTGTTGTAGAATCCCAAACATGGTGTCAAAGTACTCAATCCGTTGGGAAGTGAATAAGTATTTATGTTTGGTTGTGTCTTGGTATAATTCTTCTTGGATCAAGGTACACTCATATCGAGAACCCAGTAAATGTCCACTAGTTCGTTATCAATGCCTTATTGTTGATGTTTGATTCCGTTCTCAAATTAAGGTGTTCAACCATTGTTGCCCAATTGTATACTCAGCCAAGAGGGCTTCTGGGTCAACCCGGTTCAATGGATTGTATCCCCAAATGTTGCGAGATCGCCACAGTGTTCCATATCTGTGTCAAATCCGAAGGCTGAATGCTTACACTTCGACTTTTTGACGGTGTGATCCCAAGGTTTAGTGGTCAAACTTCAGATTTCTTGGACAAATCCATTTTTTCACGGACGCATCCCCCAACTTTCTGGGCCAACTGCAAGACTGCAAGAGATCACTGGGGAACGACATGACTGACCTGGTGCTGACCGTGGTGATCGACTCCGTGAAGGTGTCAGACGAGATCCTCTACATGACCTGGTTCAGCGCAATCGAGCACCAAACAGGGTGACTGTGGTGATGAACGGCGGGTCTGTGGTTGAGATCGACCTGGGTGGCGCCTTTATGGAGGATAGCTTTGGTGATCCTTTTTTTGGAACAACAACACGCTATGTCACTGTGAGGCGTTCCCTTCTACTTCTACCCCAGCGACAGCTGCTCCAAAGGGATCAACACCCAGGACTACTAGCATCTACTAGCTCAACTGCATCGGCACCGGCAGCAACGCTTCGGGAGAGATCTCCACACAGGCCTGAACTTCGAGCCTCAAGCCGCCCAGAAACTTCCCATGCTGCTGAATCGGCAAGTCATGGTGAACGCCCTGAAGATGATGTTGCTCACAGGCTCAAGAAACTCCAGCTCCATCTCCTCAGATCGTCCTGGAGAACCTGCTGTGCGTGTGGAAGGGCCCCATGCCCGTGATCTGCCTCCAGTTGATGATGAGGGCACACCGGGCACACCAGAGAGAAGATCCCGTTCACCTTCACCAGCCAAGAACTGTGACTACGGGACCTCGTCCTCCAGCCAATCCACTTCGAGGCAAGAGGTTAGAAAAGTAATTGCTCAACGATTAGCGGAGGATCTCTCCGAAAGCCCGAGGACACCAAGTCCTGCAACAATAGTTGCTCAGTCCAGCCGAGCTGCCGAGGCTGAAAAGGCATTCCAGCGGTGCCCCACTCCAGAACACTTCCCAGGGCATAAGCCACCTGAGGGTCTACGTGTGCGTGATGAGATTCAGTGGTTTTGTGGGCTTCATGCCTACTGGGACGCAGTTGAACAGGGACGGCGCCCTCGCACCTCCAAGACGACCAGCTTCCACTCCAGCAACAACGGCTGCCGCTTCAACAACGGCTGCCGCTTCAACAACGGCTGCAACTTACACCAACGAATCTGATTGGAGGCATTGGTGGGGCGTCTACTTCTACAACCACTGCTGCCGCTGTATCTGCCCGGGCTGCCGACGCGGAAGCTCCTTCGAGGCAGCGTGCTGTTCAGAAGAAAGCTGAACACAAGACGCAACCACCGGTGGACTTCAAGGGCCACATGGCTGGATCCAACAACTTCCCCGCAGTGATCTGCTGTTCTGCTCTCCGAGCCCTACTACAAGATCCTCCTGCTCCGCTACCAGCACAAGTCGACACACTGCAGGCTCTTCCTTCCGTTTCAACTCTTCCTTTCTATTCGTTGCGTCTGTGCCTTCGTATCAACTCTTCTGTCTTGCTCGTTGAGCTCTTATCCTTTCCTTTCAATTCGTCCGTTTCGTTGCGTCCATCCTTTCGTTTCAACTCTTCCCTCCTATTTGTTATTTCTTTCGTTTCGTTTCAACTCCCACCTCACGTTTCACAGAAAACTTTAAAAAATGCAGTTTGCGAGAAAAGCATTTTTTGTCAAGTTTTCAAGGGTGAGGCTATTCGGGCTGGCATTTGCCGTCCAAGCAGCCACTTGCGGCCACTTGCGGCCACTTGCGGCCACTTGCGGCCACTTGCGGCCACTTGCGGCCACTTGCGGCCACTCGAGTGGCTGCAAGTGGCTGCAAGTGGCTGCAAATAATGCAAATGGCTGCAAGTGACGCTGCTCTGGAAATTTCAAATCCTACCAGTAGAGCAACCGGCCACGTGCGGCCACGTGCGGCCAATGGCGGCCACTTGCCCTAGCGGCCACTTGCGGCCACTTGCCCTAGCGGCCACTTGCGGCAAGTGGCCGCTTGCGGCCACTTGCGGCCACTTGCGGCCACTTGCGGCCACTTGCGGCCACTTGCGGCCACTTGCGGCCACTTGCGGCCACTTGCGGCCACTTGCGGCCACTTGAGTGGCTGCAAGTGGCTGCAAGTGGCTGCTTTTTTGAACGCGCTTTTTGCGACCTCAATGAGATATATTGAATATAGCTGAGTTCTCATCACCGTTTTTATGGCGTCTCAACGGTCTAAAAAGGCATGTATATTGAAAATAGCTGGGTTCTCATCACCGTTTTTATGGCGTCTCGGTGGTCGCAAAAGGTGGGTCACAAAAGGTATGTATTTTTATGTTGAATATAGATGAATATAGCTGAGTTCTCATCACCGTTTTGATGGCGTCTGAACGGTCTAAAAAGGCGTGTATATTGAAAATAGCTAGGTTCTCATCACCATTTTGATGGCTTCTCAATGGTCGCAAGAGGCAGGTATATTGAATATAGCTGCGTTCTGATCCTCGTTTTGATGTATCTACATGGTCTCAGAAGGCAGGAATATTCAATATACCTATATGATCTCCATTTTTGTGTCTATACATGCTTTGCTCTGCAGGTCTCATCTCCTTGAATCCTTGCCTATGACCCCAAGAGCCGGACCAGGGGGGAATCGATACCCCACTGTCATTAATTAAATGGAATAACCCTCAAAACTTGCCTATTTAGGCGCGCTCCAGGTCACCTTTTTACGTGCTTTTTGTTCCAATTGGTCAGGCCTGCCCACAGACCCGTTAAGCTCACTATGTTCGCGATAATAACTTCAGCCTAGCCTACCGGCTGGCTTTCGTAACATACACTAACAGTGGGTCTCTTCAAACAGGAACATCCATCATTTTCCGTGATTGAACACTGATAACAACGTACACAGCTTTTGTGAGAGAGACATCTTGCAGCAATGAGAAATGCCAATGAAAAGGCTGTCCAAACAGTTTTAATCAAATGTTTCTGCTATGCTTCTAGCCTCTTGCCTGTTTTTGTTGAGGGTATCATCTTGCCGCGTGTCTGTTCTTATGGCATTGAGTGAAGCACCAATTCTCTTTAGACCTTTTTTGATTTGGACCAACGTTCGACCAATTGCACATCTGGTCTGATTGACGCCAACACCCGCGTCTTTGATCCCTGTCAGCACAAGTACCTCCAGCAAGGGCACACCTTGCAAGCGGAACGTCTCTTCCAGTGTCGCCTGGCCCCGGCAAGGTTAAATACCTCTGGTTCACCCATTCCCTGGAACGTTTCTGGTCATTTCTTGTCAACATGTGTCAACCTTGAATATGTCCAAAGAATGCCGAACAAATCCATAGGTTCCAAAACTAGAAAAGACACATCATGATAGGATCCTCAAGCCAAAGAAGAAAACCAACGCTACTTCAGGTACGCCTTCTGATGTGCCCAACCACAGCCTTGAAGTTTGTTGTGATGCCTTTTGGACCGCCCAGCACTGTTATAAGTCCCTGACAGGCCCAATAGCTGAAGAACCCGCAGACTCTGCAGAAACCATCCACAAATCGGGGATTGTATATTGCAAATACACCGTTTCAACGGAATGCCTGCGGAGCAGGCGAGCACTGGATAGAGTTGTTGGATAGCGGGTTGGCCTCCAACAAGCTAACAAGCTGAGATGACAGGGGAGCTTCAAAGCGGACCTTTTGAGACATGGTTTGAGGAATCTCAGCTTCGCGCGCTGAAACATCTCAAAAACGCACCGTCCATATCCAACACCAACCCCACTGCCTGGTGAAAGCGGCGCATGGACTCGCAAAATCCAAGGCATTGCTTTTAGAATTTTAGAGTTGTTCGATGTTGTTCGTGTTCATGACAGTTTGGGTCATTCCTGTTAGGAACAAACTGATCACGGTCACAAGTGCGCCTTAGCATCAGCACCCCATCTTTCATTTAACCTGAAACAGGATGGATGCCAGCACCACCACAGGTACTAGATAATCATATCATATAATCCTTCCGCTGGCAATTCGTTTGTTGGCGAAGTTGGCCACAACGTGTACGTAACCAGCCGCCTCTGCAAGAAGATTGACATGCCTCAGCTGCAGAAGAAGTTGTCTGATCAAGTTTCCCTTGACCGAATCAAGCTCCACACTTCGCCCAGTTGGCAGCCTAAACAGCACACATCTGGACAATGGCACACAAATCTGCCGCATTGCAAGTGTCCAATAATGGAAGAGACAGCATGGCCCTGTCCTTGGCCACTCATACCATGATCTGCTACCTTCGCTACGCTGCATCCAACTGTCCTGCACAACATGCACATGTCCGGACTAGGTCCGTGTCTGTTGGGACAGGTGGCAGCAACAGCTGCACTACGAAGTCAAGCCTCCTGCTCCAGTTCGTACTTCCAAATGCTGACTCCCGGGGTAGGCTGGCCAGGGCAACCAGCTATGCAAAAAGGGTGATGGAGTTTGATGTTCAGTCCAACATCCTGCACTGCTCAACTCGTAGTATTTTTCACGGCGTTGGAAGCACCTTGCCGGAACGCAATTGAACTCATCAACAGTGCCTTGTCCATCTGTTCTGGAGACCAGTCACGCATTGCCTCCCACTGACATCAATGTTTCACATTGATGAACCTGTAGTCATGAAGACTGGTCAAATTAACCGTTGCAAACGGTGTCGCTATTCCAAAACATGCCAAACCTCCATGAGGCTTCTGGAGGAGGGCTGGCCTCCCCACTGATCAGTGGCAATGGCAGAGTTGAGCCTTTTCCATCCTTTTAGATCAGCAGGGTCAAAGATATTGCATCCGTTTTGTGACCCAAAAAGAATTGAAAAGAACCGACCCACCGCTGCAACTGCACATGGCCTTGCCATGCGGCGTAAACGTTGGGCCAAAGGAACTTTGCAATCCTCATTCTTGTTGATGGTCGCATCACCAAGTGTTAGGAGTAAAGGCTGAGATACACACTGTTGCTCACTGGGCGCATTTTTGCCAAGAAACCTTTCAGCGACCCAACTTCAGCACATTTCAATTTCCACTGAGCCTCAAACTCTGCCTGATCCATTCGCTCATGTCATCTCCTTCGACGCACACAGCTGCATCAGCCTGGTGACCAAATAAAACTGGTACTGGATGCATGAGGGCCCCATGGCCCAGCTACAGTATGTAGTTTATAATTTTAAATATCTTATAATTTATAACTAACATAACAATCCTAGTTGCCTATATTCATATTGCACTGGAAGTGTGGTTCAAACAAAGCACCTCCAACTACCTCGTAATGCTTCATGGCCACCTGGCTCCCTTCTACTTTCAGCACAGGCAGCACTTTAAAGTTGGGAGGGACAACTAGGTGAACGCCCAAACGATCCGAAACCTACACATTCGCAGCACATGGAACTCATCCTTGAGCTCCTGACCCAAAAGAGGCGAACTGCTGCATTTGGGGGCCTTGAGATGGTTTCCCATGATGATGTGATGACGTGTGTATATGTAACTATATGTATGTATACGTATATGATGACACATGGCCTGACATCGGACTGGGTCGCAGGCGCAACTGCCAGGCACTTGGCTAGTTCATCCAGCCTCCCCCGATGAGTTGCCTCACCAGCCAACAACCAAGGCCAAACAGCACCTTGGTTGGGAATGCCAGCCTCGCCTCTGAAGATATAAGCGGCCCCCACGGCCTGTAGCACTTATAGCTCGCAGCGTGCCCAATGAAGATTGGTCCACTCAGCAAACTGGGCTTCAAACCCAAACAGCTTGTAGGCTGTGTTCAACACCCACAGCTCCTTAGCCAAATGAACAGCGATCATCAACAACACTCAGCCAGTAATCCACCTTCCAGTCAACGCTGCTGAATGCTGTTGCTGCCAGCCTGATGTTTGAAATGTGGCTCCCAAGGTGAAGGGCGTTCCATGAGAACCAGGCACCCATCATTCCATGGAAACCTTCAACCTGATTCACAGGAATGCCCCTGAAAGCTTGAACACAAGGGGAATGCTGAGGAGTTCTTGCAGTTTGCATGTCGCTGGTACCAGCATAGTCTAGGTCAAAGCTGCTTGAACTGTTTGCCATATCTTCACCTCTGCAACTCAGAGCAAATATGGCTGCGGAGATGACCACTTTGGGACGGTCATGATCTTGATCCCGGAGAGCATGATAGGCCACTAGGATGAGAAGAAACCGATCATCACGGTAGATCTTAGACATATCAACGAAGCATGCTAGCTTCAAGACTGAGAGCAGCCAAAGACATGAAATGATCTTGCGGTCTAATTAAATCTAATTTGTAAGCCTCATACATTTTTGGAAATTCTTTGGGTGAACAAGATATTCCTCAACGCGGACTTGGTCCAAAAGTCCTGCAAAAATGCAACTTGCTGCTCTGGGCATCCAGGTCTATCTTAATTTCGGCATGTTTCTTTCATTGCGGCCATCTTTCTGTCAGTGGACTATCTGACGATCTTGTTCCTCAAACAGCTGTGGGCGTCACAGTCACAGAGGCACCATTTACGGAGCCATTTATTGCAGAAAGGAAGAGGAAAAGAACAAGAAAGAGAAACGGAAAAAGGGAAAAAAAGGACAAATAAAAGGGCAAAAAACATGGCTAAGAAAAGGAGGATCTGGAGTGGGAATAAGAGGAAGATCGCAAAGAAAAGGAAGCAAACAAAGATGTTCTAGAATGTCTTCAGTGAATCGCAAATAAAATTGCATAAAGTGGCATCCATTTTTGGACCGTTCCGAGGCTTCTCGAAGGTATACAATTTTCACAGGAATCGGCAATGAACCTCCCTCTGAAAGGTCTAAGGGTGCAAATGAACAAAGGGCCCCCCGATAAGTCAGAAGAAAAGACCGAAGATTAATGCCTGTTGTATGATGATTCTAAAGCTGTCAACTCCAACAATGCATTTTTTCGTTTGGCTCGCGGCGGGCGGCCTTCTTGAAAGATAAAGTCTCGGAACCCTCCCCTCTACACGCTGCAAGTGCTGCACCTTGTTAGTGCACTGAGTCCCAGGCAAATGAAAGTGCCAACAGGATTACAAACTTGCATCACTACGAATGGAATGAAATGACTACCCTCTTGCTTGCCTGCCAGTGGTACACTGGACTGGAAGCAATTGAAAAATGCAGTGTGGCCTGTGGTTCGGCCTTTCCCTAGAAATCTCTCTAGGTAACACAATTGAATTAGAAGCCTTCCAGCGACAAACGTTTTCAGTCTCCAAAAGACTTGTAGCTACAATATGCATATAGATGAATGTTCCAAACTGGGGACCCTCAAACCCATCAATTTACCACGTGAAATAAAATCATTGAAACAAATGAAAACATATTGATAATTTATAACTGCTTCTTGGGTCCTGCCTCCCCTTCATGAGCACAAATCCACATTAGAATAAAATCCAATACGTGTGCTTCGGCAACATGCTATGCAGCTGGCGCAGGGCAAGGGCCATCTGCATGTGAGTGGTCATGGTGGTCATCCTCTCCCCACTTCTGCCAGGGCAGCTGATCATGGCCTTCAAAATTCCACTTCTCCAAGCCCATTTCATTGTCAGTGAGGAGGCAAGCATCCAATTGGGCTTCGATCTCCGATGGTTCTTCGAATCTACCAATGAGCACAATTTCCTGGGCACGATCACCATGCGGTGCAGTCCAGAGAGGCTCCAAATCCTCCCACAGGCCATCAGGCCAGAGATCTTTCTCAACGGCTGCCCACCACGGCTGTCCCTGGCGGAGGTTCCTCAAGAAACCTACCGCCTCAAAGATTGCAACAAACTCATAGCCCTCGTGGCTTGCGATCCATGCGTATCCCTTGGCTCGCAGCACATTGGACAGAGCTCCAGGAGTATTCACCAACTTTGCAAAGCGACCTGGGTGAAACGGCTTGTGTCGCTTGTAGATGAAATTCCGAATGCCAAACTCTACCGTCTCTGTTTTGTGTTCACCAATTCGGGCTTCCTTGAGCCACATCTCGTGCTTCTCTGCCCCGTCCATAGTGAAACGCTTTGTGTTCAAGACGGCTGACAGGCTGATCTGTGAGCGAGTTGTTTCAAAAACACCTGCCTCAGAGTTCATGCGGGAAATGACGGCCTTGATCTCCGAAACTTGTTCCGGAGACAGGAGGTCGCACTTGTTGACAAGGATGACATTGGCAAACTCGATTTGGTCAACCAAAAGCTGTGCCATATGTCGCTCATCACCGTCATAGGCTGCTTGGCCGGTTGACTTGGTTGTCTCCAAGGATTCAAGGTTGGAAAACAAATTGGCACCATCCACAACAGTCACCATGGTATCCAGGCGAGCTACATCCTTCAACAGTAGCCCACTTGACTTGTCATCAAATGTGAAAGTCTCCGCAACAGGGAGAGGCTCCGAGATTCCAGAAGACTCCACAACAATGTAGTCATACTTTTTCTGCTGTGTCAGTTCAACAATCCCACTTAAAAGATCCTCCCGAAGTGTGCAGCAAATGCATCCGTTGCTCATCTCAACAACCTTTTCAATTTTTTGCTGCACATCTGCGGCCACAACGAACTGAGCATCCATGTTGACCGACGCCATGTCGTTCACGATCACCGCGACTTTTAAGCCTTCTACATTCTGAAGGATGTGCTTTAGCAAGGTAGTCTTACCAGCACCCAGGAAACCACTTAGTACAGTCACAGGGACTAAGTCCTTTGGGGTTTCTACAGGTAAAGGTGGTGGTACAGACTCTTGGAAGGACAGAGTCGCAGTATCTGGTGCTGGTGTTGGAGAAATCTTTGGACCAAATGACAGTGGATAGTCCGGAACAACAATGCCTTCACGGACTGCTTCCCATACACTTTCTGCAAGGGTGGCCACCGCTTTCTTCTCATGGGCACTGTCCAACCGAGCAATGGCACGCTCAAAGGGGAACCAATCGTAAAGGTCGTCTTCATCTTCTGATTCAAACTCCTCACTGCCAGGAGGAGGGGGATTGGTGGCCAGCGCGGCAAAAATAGTCGCAACAACAGGGGATCCGCCGCTTTTGTCGTACACTATTGCTGGGGCAACATCGCGAAGAATAACAAATTCGTCTGGGTAGATGTCGCAAGCCTCGCAAGCAGCACGCGTGGCAGCTTGCTCTGCAGTCTCGAAACTCTTGGCTTCTCCACATGGGACCGAAACCATGTTGCCCTTGCGAGACAATACGCATTTGGAGCCACGCAACAGCAGTACTCCGTAGTGCCGAGCTCTCTTAGAAGTGTTGCGGAGACCTGGTTTGGCAGCTCCATAACCTTCCCTCAGTGCTCCCGCAGTTGCTTTTGTCACGACAATGAAGATTCGACCACTTACAGTGGTGACCCAACCGTCGACAGAAACAAAACGCCCTCGAGGCATCTCAGGTTTCACCTCCTTCGGCACCAAGGCTTCCACACAGCCAACTGTGTCGGCGAGCATCATGCGCGTGGGAGGGCCATCTGCAATCACAGCCAACACCTGCACGATCAATCCAGTAAATGCCATTCCCAAATTCAGGTGGTGAGTCTGCACGTTTTGTACTGCCGCACCAACCACTCCTTGTGCCTTACAACAGGGGTGCAACTCTGGGAACTGTTTGAATTATGTTGCAGCCGCAGCGTGCCAAGTACCACAACAACAACAAGAGCAAGAGCAAGAGCAAGAACAAGAACAAGAAGAAAAGGAAGAACAAGAACAATAAGACCAACAACAGCAACGGCAGCAGCGATGACATCAAAATTGACCACTATACTATCCATATTGAAAAACACAGTGACATCAACATTGACAGTGACCTTGACATTCACAATGTACATCCACATGAAAATACATTGAGATAAATTGAGTATGGGTATGTGCCGAATCTCTGTGACTTTTGCTCCAAAAGTTCAAACCCCTCCGCGGACCTCGAAAGGAGAATTTGCCACAGCTTTCGCAGCTTCTGCCTTGTGCAAGCTGATATCACTGATGGGCATTGTCACCATGGAAGTGATGTTCTTCGCCTTTTGCACCAACTGTTTTGACCGGGGGTCCAGTACAAAATCAACCGACATGAAGTACAGGTTGTCCAAAGATGGTTCTATGTAATCCTCATCATCGGGACCTCGCCAGGCCTTCGCAACAGCCTTTGGTGTGGCTTCCACCATCTCAATGCTAATGGAACTCAGCCTTTCAACAAATTTGCGCTGCACAGGTGCAGCTCCCACACCAGACAGCAGGAGAACTCTGGCTATCTTCGAAGCACCCACCATAGTAGACTCCACCAGGTTGGCAACCAATCCAGCATCATCTCCATGCACCAAAACTGTTGCATCCATACAGTTGAACTTCGCAAACCATTTCACAAGCATCTTCATTGCCTTCCCTGGATTCTTGGCCTCAGAGCGCCACTCCTCAGATGTCCCGACCTGTGACAAGTCGATGAGGAAGATATTGTCATGATCTGGCCTTGCCACCTTGCGGACAAGATCTGCATGCCTCCTGCATACATGGCCAAAACCATCTTTCAAGTATGGTCCCTCGTGCGCCCCTGTGAAAACCACAAGAGGCGATTTCGGCGAATGAGTTGGTTTGTACGGCCATCCAGTGGACGCCACAAAGAGTTTTACCCCAGGAAGGGACTCGGTGTCAGCGCCACGCCTCTCAGCACGAGCCATGGCGCAGGCAAAGCATGCCACAGGCTGCAAAAATCTGCATAACATATATTTTTAATATTTACATATGAAGAGAACTGTCACACAATAGATGCAAGGTCACCTGATGTCACCTGCAGGAGCACTTTCTAATCAAATGATCTCAAATAATCCCAAAGGTATCCAGATGTTTCATGTGGTTTTTCTTCTATGCACAGCATACTCAGGAATAGAGCAGAAAACAGCGGTGGAAGCACTGTGGCAAGGCCGAAAATCAACATGGATTTGTGGAAGCTACTTCGAAGCCACTTCACATGCTGAGTCATGAGCAATACATCATGGCACATCATGTTGTGCATTCCAGCCACCAAGGTAGTCAATCAATCGCCTGTGTGAGGGGGCGAATGCACTGTAGTATTTTTTCCATCCATTCGGTAGGCTCAATGATGTTGAGAACAAATCGTTCGCACTCAACCCGTTTGAAAAAGGTAGGGCGATTTTGAACACTCAACTTAAAAAGGAGACGCAATTCTGTTCAAAGGTACAATGCACAATCTGGGCAGCAGGAAGTGCAAGCTAGGGATAAAAGTGAATCACTTCAAAGATGCTACGCGCAAGAAAGCGCAAGAGTTCACAAGGAAAATGTTGTTTACATTTGTGTACCATGTTTTACCCTACGAGAATGTTTCAGCTAGGATAGGAAGGTGGATCTCCCCACCGCCCAATCGATGTGTTTTGCGGTTCAGGTTTCTCGTTGATTTGTCTTACCCGTCAAACACAAGAATCAAACAAAGAATTAATTTGAAAAACATATTTCAAAATGACATGTTGTCCCTTTTCAAATCTTTTCAAAATGGCAGCACCCGTGCGACCTTGTTTCGTCACTGTTCGAAGTTTGGGGTGCGAAAATTTGCAGGTGCCCTGATTTCTGGAATTTGGTTCTGTCCACGGATTTGAGGCAACAAAAACACACAATGTAACGAGCTTCCCAACGGTTCGCAAAGTCATCTCATCATGGCGAGCCCCAGAATCACAAAAAGGACGGCGCAACTTTATCCGTAGGCTTGGTCTGTCAGTATGACTCCAGTTTAATAGGAGGCCTTTTGCCCTTGACGGAACACGTTGAACACCATATTCAAACATTGAACTCATTGAACTCATTGAACTCATTGAACTCATTGAACTCATTGAACTCATTGAACTCATTGAACTCATTGAACTCATTGAACTCATTGAACTCATTGAACGGCATATTTCTCGATGGCATCAAGGTGCGCAAGACATATTCGGCACTCGTTGCCTCAACATGCACCCCCACTACAAGTCGGCCTTTGCCTAATAGCTTTCTGCTTGTGTCAATGATGGCAACGATGATCACCTGTCTATTTGGGGGATGGTGCTGTTATCAAACAACTTTCAAGGGGTCGGGTAAAAACCAAATGTGTTCAATCCTGTTATTTCAATCCAACCGACGACAGAGTGTTAGAAAAACAACATATCGGTCCGGCACAGCACGCTGACAACATATATTTGCGTCCAGCATGTTCAAGAAGGCTCAGGCACAACGCGTATGTGCAACACTCTTGCAAACCTTGTTGTCAAGGTTGGGTCGGTTCCTGCTCAAATTGTTTCGACTAATCCATTGTTTAAAGTTTAAACTTTGGAAGTCGTTAAACCAAATGTGCAAATGCAAACCTACTAAAAATAAGTTTTGAGGCATGTGTTTGGGTGGACTTCCCAGCTTCCAGCAACACAAACATGTTTTTTGATGACTGAAAATGTTGAAACATTGCGTTTAAACATGTTCAAAACACTGCTTCATGGCAGTAACTTTGATTTGCATGGATCACACCATTGTTGGACCTGCCTTGCATGTCAAAGACATTTGGATTGACGGATCAGTGTTAGGCTAGGACCAGGAGTGTAATTTGACTGTCGTGGTTCAGAATGGATGGCACGAGCAGTTGAAGGGCATGTGAATTTGTAAAGGTTTCTGGTGAGGTCAAGCCTTTCAAGGTTCCTGCCAGGGTCTCCAAAATGCATGGCAATTACCGCATTGCTTTTGCGTTCATCCTGGTCAAAAACAGTCAAAAGTTGCGCATGGCATGAAACATCCTCCACGTGGATCATGCGGCCCCACTGAGGAGTGAATAGGCCAAAATTTGCCGAGGTCTTGCAGAAAGGTTTTTATTGGTCTGGGTTGGAAGCGGGCATGTCTCCTGGACATGTGCCAAGAAAACCTGCACATCAAATTCGTAGACCTCGGGTTTGTTGGAAAATTGATGCGCAAAAATATCGTAGGATGCGGCGGTGGCACCCTCGTTGCTACCGGTCGCGTTCTTCATACTTTATGTTCAGCAATACTTTGGTCAGATTTTGTGCCTGTTGTTGCGAGTTTTGGCTCAGGTGTCTACAGTCAGGGGCCGGGAACCTCCGCGAAATTGTTTAGGAACTTCGAACACCAACCAAGCTTCGAGGCGGTGGGTCAACCAGAGGATCCCCGGCCACTAAACGGAAACATAAAAAACTGCCCAACAAGAAGTGCTGACAAAGTTATGCAGCATGTTGGTTCTTTTCAGGGAAAACGCAGCCCAGTATCAATTTGTGCTTACGTGGTGGTTCGGGTTGGTGGTTTGGAAGTCTGGGAATTGATGGCTTTGTGAACTTAGAAAAAACAAAAAATATCAAACCCTGTAAAAAATGAAATCGTTGAAAATAAATAATAAAGAAAAAAATAAAACAACAATGATTGCTACCAGATTAGGTTTGTTTTGAATTGATATTCATCTTGTATCTCGGAAAATATACACTTATTTAATTTCCAATCATTTCACGTGATTGTTTAATTGATTATTGAATTCTAGTGCATTTTTCTGTCATTGTCTATTTAATTTTGAAATGGGGGGAAGACAGTTTCTTGAAACCGTGTGGTCCTATCCTGTACTCTGACTGATGCAGGTTTCATGGGTTTTCCATAGAGTTTCCATGCAGGTTTCATGTTGGTTACATGCTGGGTTTGCTGATTTAGCTTACTGCTGTGTAACCTCCATGACAACTCCCTGGAACCTGCATGAACGTCCATGGAACCTGCATCAGTCAGAGTGTTCCAGGCTCCAACGCGCTCCCAAAGTGATGCACAACAGGATGAGCCTGCACCCGGCTGCGTAAACACTGTTGGCAGCCTTCACTCTCGCCCTGTCTCGTGGGCCCAAATTGGGCTTGCCATCTGGATGTTCCGCATCCCTCCGTGGCGCGGGAGCGTTCTTCATGTTGCGGAACTCAATCTCTCTTGCCCGGCTGCCAAAAGTGAGCACAGGCGCATAGTGGACTTCGAATGTAGGACTGCGCAAATTTTTCATCTTCAGGCGTAGACATGTCAAGTTTGACAATGGGTGCTTTGTTGCCTGGCTTCACGTCATGGTCAACACCAAACGATGAGGGTAGGCCAGCTCTTCTAAGTTGTGCCGTCAGGCCGGCCAGTTCCCGAGCAAAATTCCACAGCAAAGGGTGCTGGGTATCCTCATGCGATACCTGAATCCCACCTGATTGCCCTTGAATGTTGCAGCAAGTATTTTGGTGGGGCCGTGGCCCCCCTTGGAATCATCAAAGTAGTGGTCTGGGTGGCGACCATTGAAAGCTGACGGCGTATGTTCTTCGACCATGCCTTCGATCTTGCGGTGAATTCCCGTGGGTTGCGACGGCGCTCCGTCGTCAGGTGGGGGGCAGCCCCCTGCCTGTCGCTTCTTGTTGCACGAGAAGTGGGGGTGTTTGTCAAGGCATGTCGTGAAACAGAACAGTCATGACGAGTAAAAGCAGAAATGGGGAGGGTGGGCATCCCTGACGTATGCCGGCATCTTGAGATTTGGCATGCGACAGAAAATTGTCGTGTTTCACTTGGAGGGAAAGGTCCGTGTAAAAGTTTGCAATAAGATTTCTGAATTTTCTTGGTAAGTTCAACCTTTCCAAGGCCTGCATCATCCGGGGGGTGTGAGATCCGGTCGAAGGCTTGCTTCCAGTCCAACATGCATATCACGATATTGTCCCCAGATCTTTCTCCCAAATCTTGGAACCGCCTGGCTATGAATAACGCGTCCGTGGTGGAACGGTTTTTCCTGAACCCAAATTGGGTATCACAAATGCATGGGCCAATGACATCAGCCTCTGCCGAATGATCTCAGCAAAGACCTTGTAAACAGCATTCAACACAGAAATGGGTCTATAACTAGCAATGTTTTCAACGTCAAGAAATCTGATGAGATAGCTTCCTTGGACAACCACCCATTCAATCCGGAAAGGATGGCTATTTTGTTTTCTACATCCAAATGTTTGAACAATTCAGCCTGAATGCCATCAGGGCCGGCAGTTTTAAGGTTCTTCGTTTTTCTTAATGCTGCATCAAGTTCGGTCATAAGTATTTGATCAAGATTAAAGGGCAAGTCACTTTGGATGATTGGTCTTTTAATGATTGACGGCGGTAGAATGTCAGCCTTCCATTGCAAAGCATGTAAATAATCAGTAACTGCTCCTGCACGCCCGCGGGGGCCGACCCTATTTCCGTCTTTATCTTTCATTTTGCTGGAACTGGTTGTCTGTTTTTCTTTGATGATATTTATTCCAGCACATTGCTCTCTAGACGGTAAGGTATCTTGCAACTGTTCGAGGATATGTTTTTTATTTTTCTAAGCCTTTTTTTTTGTCTTCTTAGTGAATTCAGGTAAGATATCGTGATTGCCATTGTCATGTTCTCTTCGTCTTTGCAAGATCAAGTCCCATGAATGTTCCGGAATATACGAACGACGTTTGCCCAGTGGTGTTGGTCTCAAATTTATCTGTGCTGCTTCACGAATAGAATCAAGGAAGGTTTTCGTTTCCGCATCACTCGCCTGGCGCATTGTATCCGAAATGAACTGGTTGTAACTCGTTTTCCAGTGGAGTGGAGGGACTATATGTTACCCTTTTGACCACCGTAGAACTAAGTTGTTTCTGTCTGACACGGCATTTCACACAAACAATGAAGTGATCTGAACCTGTGAAAATTTCAGGGGATGAGGACACGTCAACCAAAGTGTTTTTCCACCTGTCAGGAACCAAAACAAAATCAATATGCGCAAATCTATCCGGGGACCAGGGAGGTCCACCTAGCACACCAGCTTCTCTGAAGGTCACCTGCTTTGACACCGGTTTTTGAAATAATGTGTCACCAATGTGGAGGTCATGTGCCAGACAAAATTCTACAAATAGTTTTTTTGTTCTCAAATGAAGGTGGGCTAGAACTGTGGATCAAGAAATTCAAGCCACGTCCAAACGTGTGCTGTCCAGTACAGCAGGTTTCATTCTCAAAACGGGCACGCGGTCTTGCATTGAAGTCTCCTACGATGAAGGTTGGATGACTATTGGGGAAACTGGCCAAATTACGTTCCAGCGTTTCATAGAAATCATGTTTCAATCTGGTCTCAGTGCCGCTTTGTGGCGCAGCCCGATCATATCCAAAGTTACGGTCATGATTCGACCATCAGTTTGCTCAAAAGTCTAAGAGCGCAGCCTTTGCTTTTGGTGAAAGAATAACACCTGTGCTTCCATATTCAATGTCAATTGGGGGTGCATATCGGACTCCATTTTTTGGGCGCCCTCTAGCCATATTTTTTGCTCCGGTTTTATCGGCATGTTTTCTTTGCGCGGCAATTATTCTCGTGGAGTATATGAAACAAAAGCTCTCGATCGTTTCGGTTGAGTTTGTATTTATGTGAGTTTCCTGCAGAAAACATATCTATATAAACAGACTTCCTCATGGAGAGCCAATACTTTTTTTTGGTCGAACTGTGTTTACTCGCAAGACCACGGCAATTCAATGAAACAAACTTAATGTAGGAATTCAAAGTCCATCTGGCAGGAGAGCCGTGCTGATATTTAGGGTCATCAGGTTTTTAGTGTTACGTACATTTTTTATTACAATACTGACAATACTTATGGAAACCGTCTAGCCTGGAAGATGCAGCAGTAAGGAAGAGGTTCCGTGCGTTAAGGCATGGCTGAAGGGTATCCTGAACCAAGTTGTGAAAACCCGGCGGCTTGGCTTTGCCAAAGCGGGTTTGCAACACAGCCTTCTTATAAATGCGGTATGAAATTCTATGCTCTCCGCGTTTCTCTGTTCGTCTAGCTTTTTGTTTGTCTACAGCATTTTTTGAACATACGCCTCTTTTATGACTCGCCCTTGGCAATTCGAGTTTGTGTTTTGGGTGCTGTGTTGTCAGACCATTTCGTCTCCGCAGAAAACTCTTGTCGGAGATTCGCGGCTGACCCAGCCCACCTATGGAAGGTAGGACGCTCGCTTTTAAAAATTGGGATTCATTTTTTTCTTGTCTACTCTCTTTTTGGTGACGAAGTCCGCAGAGCTGCGGTATCACTGGGGCAGAACTAGAATAGGTGCCGTTTTGTTTTCGAAGTCCGTGTTTCCACGGTATGCTTGACCTGCCGCAAAGCCCCTATGGATCCTCATCGGGCTCAAGCGGACGAACCCTGACCAAATGCACCTTGTAGGGGTAATTTTGGACGCCCCGGGCTGTGCTTGAGGAGGATTTTGCCTCTCCCTTTCCTTTTCCTTTTTGTGTTGCGAAGTCTTCGTCTGAATGTCGTGTTACTGTTTTCCATGCAATTGCTAATTTTTCTTCAGCCATTGGGAATTGATCCTCCCGAATGAAGTTTCACTGTCCCATCCGCGTCGTTGAAGACATACTTCAATAAGTTGCCGTTTTCTGTTGCAATGATGTTGGAAGCCCAATTCTTGTGAAGGTTTCTTGTTTCTTGATGGTATTCGCAATTTGGGGTGTCATTGATCAATTGTAAGAATGCCTTCACGGGGTTGCTCCTGATTTTGTCGGGTGTGGAGATTTGCTGCTTGACCCTCAAGAAGTAGGGGGTGCCAGAGCTGTCTCTTGGAATGCTGTTGTCGGACTGCCACTATGGCAATGAGTGTCTGTCTGATGTGATTGTGCAGGCGCTTTGAACTTCTTTGTAGCCCATACACTCCTGAAATGTAGGATGGAAATTCGGGAAAGGACTTCATGGTGAACCTCGTGTGATGCATAGACGAATTCCCTTGCAGGGATGGCACCAACCATCCAGTCTACGATGCGATCTCGACCTTGTTCTTGCGCGTCTACTGGCCAGCCTGCAATGATAGTTTGTTGGTTTGTTTCCTTCCTAGTTTGGTAGTTTGGTGCTGGTGTCTTTGCATCAGGTAGTTTTGTTGCTTCTGCATCTGCTTCATGCGGCGGAAAAAACATGCTGGTGTCGTCAAAGGGTTCATTTTTTCAACTGTGCTGATACGTTCTTCTGTGTCTGCTGTCATGGTTTCCTTGCTGAAGGTTGTGCGCTGCTGTATGCCTTCAGGGTGTCTCGTCTCGGAGAGGTGATTGTTTCCTCCGAGGGGACGTGGGGTGTTGGCAATTTGTTCTGGCCAATGCTTTGCTTGTTCCTCTGGTCTTTCATTTTTCGCGGTTTTCTTGTCTGCCTTTTTTCCTTTTATTCTCGTTGTTTTTTTTCTTGCTTGGACTTCTTGTGATCCGGGGATGGCCTTCTTCCATGTTTTTCAAAATCTCCGTAATCTTTTTGCGCTTTGTGTTCTTGGTGGCTAAGGTGGACTTCGAGTAGAACTTTTCGATGAAGCTCCTCTTTATCCTGCTAACCCACCCTCTGTTTCGTGTCATCTTTCCGATGTCCTTGATGGGGATCTTTTCCTCGCTCAAAGCTTTCTGGGGGATCTTTTCCTCGCTCAAAGCTTTCTGGGGCTTGCCGCTGCTATCATTGCGTTCAGGACTGATTTTCCGCTTCCCCCTGATGGGTTTGTTCTCATGTGCGCCTCTTGCATTCTTGACGCCTCCGATTGCTTTCTCGTTGTCACGTCTGGGCCCCATATCGAATTGCTCGATCGACTTGATCCCCGCTCTTGTTCTGGAGCTCGCATCTCTGTCAAACTGAGGTAGTCTTGGGGCTTTAGCTCGGTACGTGTAGGAGTCCCATGTTTTGGCGTTGTCTGCTTTCTGACGTTCTTTCTGTGTTGTAAGTAGGTTCCATCGGGGGACGAACACCTGCAATTCGATGAAGTGGTAAGCCTTGCATACCATATCGTAAATTTGGCCGCCTATTTTCATTCCTCCCTGGCATAGCCGCGGCACACATGCTTGACAGAGCATTCCAGCCAGGAAAACGGTGCCCAGGATCAGCCATATCGCCGACGGAATGCCCGGTGGTCCCTTCTGTCCCACCACTAATGACTGCTGCACCGTTGCTACCTCCATGTTTGAGCCAGCTGATGAACATGTCATGCACAAGAAATTTTCAGCCTCAGCGACAATCCACAAAAAATGAATGAAACGACATGTACCTGCCTTGAAAGGTTCAAACATGCATGGTTAGGTTTTGATCTGATTACTATGGGTTAACTCGAGCGCTTGATTGACGTCCCGGATCAGCCTACTTTTTTGCCGGCTGGGAATGTCAAAGCATATCAAAAACCCCTTGAGGGTGAGGCAGATTAGCTTTCCAAGGACTGCCCTCGACTCCTGGCGGTTTGGAGCCCATTCCTTTGTCTGCCAAAGCTGTCGTGCGTCGAACTTTGATGGTCTTGAGCACCTGTGGAACCTCGCCTCTTTGATGAGGCCGTGACAGCCAGTCTGCTTCTTTGTTGAGGGATCCCGGTATGTGCTGCGGGATCAGCTTCGGCACTTCTGCTTTCTCCAGTGCCAATGCTAGCTCTGCCGCCAAATAGTTCAGGATCCTATTTGGGGAAGCCAGTTTGCTGGACATTGCCAGCGCGACTGCACTGTCAGACCTGGTGACCAGCACTTTGCCCTGGAACTTAGGCGCCCATAGTTGAACCGCTCTCAGAATGGCCAAGCCTTCAAGCACCGCTTGTCCTGATGCTTCTCCATATTCAATGTCCAGCGCTTCTGCATGATGCTTTTGCAGAAGTGCTTCGTATGCCTCGACTGGGAGCCATTCGCCTGCCACTTTGATCCACTTTGTTGATGAGCGGCCTCTTGTTCGATCAATTTCTCTTTGCGGATGAACATGATGTCCGATACCTCGAAGACCGCTTTGAGCCAGGGGATGACGGTGCCCAGACGCTTCACAGCTACTAGGCCCATTTTGGGTCGTCTGTCTCCTTGTCGCTTCTGTGCTCTCTGCTTCTCCGTTGCCTCCTCTTTGATTGCTGCGGTGAGGACGGCATAGACTGATGTCACCGTCCATCTCAGCCTCGGTACTATGCCGGCTACCCATGAAAGGCGTCCGGCGAAAGATCGCGGCTCCTTGATTGGAACCATCCTTTTGTCATCCCAGTTCGCCATGGTGGTCTTTATCTCTTCTATCATCTTGGGCGGTGTTCCAATCAGGATGTGATGTGAGGTCAGTTCCATGGTGGTGCCTATCCACTGCACCCTGCGACCCCTCTCGCCTTTGTGGGTGGCCACCTGCACTCCGAAGGCTGCCAGCAGGTACAGAACCTTCGACACTTGCAGATTCCGTTCCTCTTCAGGCCCTCTGATGGTCAGCAGAACGTCACCTATGTAGATCTGGACCTGACCCGATGCTGGATGGAACATGCTTTGCAACAGCCTCCCGATGGCTGCACTCAACCTTCCCATGATCAAGGGCGCCCTTTTGAAGCCGAAGAGCATTGCGCACCAAACTATGCCTGTCCAATTTTCTAAACCTGGGTTCACTGCATGTTTCAGTTCCGTTGGGTGCAATCCAAAATGACAGAAAGCATCCTGTAGGTCGATGAGCACGAATTCGACCTCTGAGTTTGCAAACCTTGACGACGTCTTCAATGCTGATCTCTGTGACTCCACGCCCGGCAACTCTGTCTCTCTCTTGCGCATCACCCGCAATTGATTGACCACGTCTTGGGGTCGTGGCAGCACTATCCGTTCCGTCACGGTTGCTCTGTCATTGCCTTGTGATCTTCTCATGTCGATCACTATCCTCCTCTTTGTTGACCCGTCAGGTTTCTGTTTCACAATCAACACCAGTCGACTTGCTGTGCCCGTCGGGTACTTCTTGTGCATCTCCTCCAACGCAACGACCTTGCAGAAACCTTTCTTGACATAGCGGTCGATTTCAATGGCCGCCTCTTGCTTCTGCGTCTCCACTGACTCATAGTTCTTGAGGTTGGACAGGACACGCATGTCTGTCCGTTCTTCCAGGACCTCGTCGGGCTCGACAGGCGGGAAGATGGTTGAGTCCGGGATGGGTTGGTCCATCCCCAATGGGACTCCCTCCCTGGCCCATTGGCCCAGATATTGTTCTGGGTCTCTAGCCTTCATGCGCCAGGCATCCCACAAAAAGGAATTCAGTGGAGATCTGAATTCAGTGTTGTCCTTCAAGGTAATGCCCTCCTGCTCGTTTACCTCAAGCAAACCTTCCAGCCTTGCAATCCAGTTTCTGAGCACCTTGTCGTCGAACTTTGCCTCGCGTGATCCATAGTCCCTGGCTAGGTCTATGGTTTGTGGGAAATCGGTCACAAAGTTTCTCCATGCTTGGTCTATCTGTTCTCCCACCTTCTTGACTTGATGAAGCCGGGCAACCGACATGGCTGGGTTTCTCATGCTTCCAATTGCGAAGTCATTCTGCTCCTCTCTGGTTCTTTTCTTTGTGGGGCCCACTGACGATGATGCCGTCACCAGCTCCTCCTCAGCATTTGCTTTCGATGGCACCTTCCTCTTCTTTTCCTGTGTGATGCTGTCTGCGATGATGGGCTTTGTCTCTTCATAGATGTGTTTCCTTCTTTCGTCTTCGTTGTCCAGCCACTTCATCTGGAGTTCGTTTACCTCGCTTGACTTGACGCTCATCTGATACCTGAGCCACTCCTTGGCTGCAACGGCATCAGCTAGTGCTTCAGGATAAGCCCCTGCCGCCTCTGTGGCCGATTTTCCAATCAGCGGGACATGCGTGACCCATTCGGGACATCGGCACACCTTTGCTAATGTGGCCAGTGATTCAAGGTTCCCTGCCCACTTAGCTGGCTTATACCATCGCCTTTTCTGTTGTGACTGGTATGCACAGGTGTTGAACTCCGCCACCGAAGAGTTTGTCTCGTCTAGCACCTGCTTCAATTCGGGCAAGTCCCAAGCTGATCCAGTGTTGACGGCACCTGGTGGATTCTCCATGGTTGAAGTTTCTGGCAACGCTCTCCTCCTGAAGCTGTCGATTTGTTTTCTGTGCAACCATGCCGCTCTCGTAGCCATCAATGTTCTTTCATCGGCTTCACGTTGTTGTTGCACCGTGTTGCCAGGAAGTCCATAAATGTGGGCTGCACTCCTGACTGGGCCTGGGCCGTGATCTGTGTCTCGCCACTGAACTCTCGAAAAGGATCCGCAAGGAAACCCGCTGTGGTAACCATCCCAATCTCCTTCTTCCACTGACTTGTCGATCTCGTCGTAAGTTGCGGGTGCGGCCAAGTTGATCTCCTTGTCTTTCTTCCGGTCCAGGCTGTCGACGTAGATTTCAAGCCTGGTTTTCTCAGCTGCTTTCTTCAGTGAGATGGAAAGCTGATCTCTTTCACCTGAAAAGAGATGGAGGTACCTGAATGGTCTATTCTTTCTGAATTCATCAAAGTTTTTACTCTTTTCAAGGGCTCTTTTGACTCTGTCAGGATCCCAAGGCCCAGTGGCTGAGTGGGCCTCCCTGGAACTTGACGCTGTCACGGGCCCCGCTTCTTCACCAGGTTGACCTTTATCACAACTGGGCCCTGCCTGTTTGTCCTCAGCGCTTTTCTTGTTCCGGGTCGCCTCCACTGTGTCGGGTTCCTGTGTCTCGTCTTCCGATGAACTCGACGAGCTGTTTCCAAAGTCAGCTGAAGTTTCTGCTTCCTTCGCTGGTGTCTCCCCTGGTTCCTCCGCCATAACGCGGTGGGGGGCGACTTCCGCTTTGGGCCCAAATTATGTCATGTCCACACATGTTATGATGAAAGCACTGCAAGCCTTCACACTGTCCAAACATGTTGACATGTCATTTGTTTGAGAAGGCCTCACCTGATTTATCACTGCAAATTCTTTTGGTTGTTTGGTATGTTTCGTTTGTTTTGTCAAATTGTTTTCAAACTTTTGCAAACAACTTGAATTCCCAAAAAAAATTAAGTCAATCCAAAACGAATTTTCCCTCTTTCGGTCTCAGCTTCAAGTTCCGGACTTTTGCTGGGCCACGGCTTAGCCAGCCCTGCATTCGGAGTCCTTGTGAGACGGCGACAGCCAGAGTCTGCACTTATGCACTCGCTTTACGACTGCCTTGCACTCTCCACCCGGCGGTATATCCGCACAGCTGCCCTTGTTTGAAGCCCAGCTGAAACAGATTTCCTGTCCTGACTGATCTTTGCTCTTTCCTTTGCCTTTGCCCTTATTACTGGGGGCACCCTTGCTTTGGCTGGTACCCGAAGATCTGTGTCTCGCCAGCTCTTCTCTGTCAGCCTGCCATTTTCGTTTGCGGGTTTGTCTTTTATCCCTGTTTGCTTGGGTCCTTCTGCCATCTGGGGTCGCCACGGTCGCATCTTGGTCAGCCTGCATGGCTTTATGGCCTCATTGGATGACGTCCAGCACCGCTGCCTCGCTGGCCACAGTTGGGGCGCCCCTCCCCCCTGCAGCTGTCCAAGCTGCTGCAGGGTGGTGCACCCTCTCCGTCCAGTAATCTGTATCTGCTGCCAGTTGGGTGAATATGCATGACCATGGTCGGATGGGGTCCAAGTCACGTGGAACTTGTCTTCCTTGTCCTGCATCGATGGTGAATCTTCGACGCAACTTCTCCAGCCTCCCTGCTCTGGCTGAGTCATTGGCTGTGTAGATCAGCCACCATGTTTTCGGCCACTGCACCATGAGTTTCTCTATCTGGTGGGAATAGGCCTCAAGATCTGCTTTTGAACAAATGTTCAACATCAGGCAAGCCGCGCGAAAGACATGCCACGATGCCTTCCAGGCTGAATGTGTGCCTGGACCCGGCAAGTCCTTCTGCAGAAACGTTCCGTCCCCTAAGGGGGTGTATACCCTGCACTTTTGAATCCTGCTCATCCTTCTCCCCAGGGGCACCCAAACTGAAAAGTCACAGTAGGGAGGACGGTTCTCTATGAACACTCGTTTATGGAGTGCAGCCAGTTGGTTCGCCGTGGGTTCTTCTGTCTAGTCCGGCTGCGACCCCATCGTTACAATGTAATTCTGATACGATTGTCTACGTCAGCTGGGGGTGGTGGTAAAAGTTCTGAATCGTCATGTTGATCTATCAGTGCATTCATTTTCAAAATTCTTTCCTTTTACTCCGCTGCTCCCTGAGGCTCTCTGTTGCTGTTCACCTCTGGGATCGTTGTCTCTCGACTGTTGCTCCATCCAAGGGTCCACGTCTATGAAGTTTTCCTCGGTCACATTTGATCTCGCCGCCATGATTCTTTTGGCCAAGCGCCACACCAATCCCACCTGAGTAGCCTCTATGGGCGAAAACGGCCCATTGTCTGTGAGTGCGTTGTTGCACCCGGTCACCAATGCCACTTGCGGTAATGATGCAAGTAGCCGCAAATCACTTCCAGGGCTTCCCACCTGGCGCTCAAATGCGAGCCAAACAGCTTCGTCCACTCGGAAGTGGTCCACTCGGAAGTGGTCCAAAACGTCATCCACTGTCTGGAACTGGCTCAAATCAGCCCATGGTCCAAACAGAGCTGCCATGGCTACTCGCGGTTGGCTACACTTCTTGATTTGTGCGTGTCATCCTACTCTCCGAAAAAGAGACTGACCTCCCAGAGAGTGTGGTTTGAGCCAAAATGGCAGTGCCACACTCACTGGGGGTTCCCACCCACCCTCCAATCACTTATGTGTCACACATGTTCGTCAGCAGTTTGCTTCTCAAAATATCTTCCTGGTTGCTGGCAACCTTTCGGGTCTTAACATTGGAATCATCACTTGAAATAAGGTTTGTCACCCACATTTTGTTCTATGCACATCAAGGCTGAAATAACATGTGTGAAACATTCCTATACTCACCCGGCCTTCTTCCATTACTTCGACTATAATGGACAAACATTTAAAACATGAACGCATAATACTTCATCTTGACAGGGGGGAATGTTGCTCTGATGTTCTACATGTTTTTCCGGCAATTATTTTTTTTTTATAGCACTGGAATCATCACTACCAGTAGTACCGCACAAGGCGGTGGCGGAACTTTCAAAAATAAGAAACCTATAGGAGAGGTTGGTTGTTGTGAATCAGGGATGGCAGAGCGAAGCCACTCCTGGATTGAAAGGTGCTTGATCTCTCTCACTTTTTCTCTCTCTTTCTCTGACTATCTACCTACCTACACATCTATTTTCTATCTATCTATCTATCTCTCTATCTAGCTATCTATCTCTCCCTCTCTCTCTTTCATTTGATGACCCTATCTATCTATCTATCTATCGATCTATCTATCTATCTATCGACCTATCTATCTATCTATCTATCTCTCTCTCTCTCTCTCTCTCTCTCCATCTATCGATCTATTGTTGTTGTAGTTGTAGTTGTAGTTGTAGTTGTTGTTGTTGTTGTTGCTGTTGCTGTTGCTGTTGCTGTTGTCGTAGAAGTTAGGGTAGTTGTGTTAGTGAAGGTACTTAAGTTAGTCAAGTTAGTTACGTGAATCAGTGTCTACTTTTTCGACATCAGCACGTCAAAAAAGGCTCAAAACCGTCAGTTTTTTACACTTTTGACTTCGAAATGTGCTTCGCGCCACAACGGCGTCCACTTTTTCGACACTTTTTCGACATCTGAACCTCCAAAAGTGGTCCGAGACCGCCAGTTTTTAACACGTTTGACTTCGAAATGTGCTTCGCGCCACAACGGCGTGCACTTTTTTGACGTCTCAACTTCCAAAAGTGGTCCGAACCCCTAGTGTTTTTAAGTTTTTGACTTGGAAATGTGTTTCGCGCCACAACGGCGTGCAATTTTTCAACATCTCAACTGCCAAAAGTGGTCCGGACCTGGTGTGTTTTGTACATTTTGACTTCAAAATGTGCTTCGCACCACAACGGCGTGCACTTTTTCGACATCGCAACTTCCAAAAGTGGTCCGACCATGGTGTGTTTTGTACATTTTGACTTCAAAATGTGCTTCGCGCCACAACGGCGTGCAAATTTTCATCTCTCATCTGGCCAGCTGGCTCCGCACCCGCCGCTTTAGCGAGCCTACTCTTCGACTCTCCGGAGCCACAGATCATTGGAAAAACACAGTGTTTCGCGACTTTCCTACCTTTTCGCGCATCTGTGTCTTCTGTCCTCTTACTCTTTCTCTTCTGATCTTCTCTCTTCTAATCTTCCTCTTCTCTCTGCCTCTGCCCTGCTCTGCTTTTCATCTGTCCATATTGTCGGAAGTTTGACTTCTAAATTTCCTTCGATAAAAATTATGGTTTGTCCCACACATTCTGTTCTGACACATCCAAGTTTAAATAGTTGAATTGCCTTAAAAATCCTTATGTTAACCCCGCATTTTTCCAGTATTTTTAATATAGTGGACAGGCACTTAGAACATCAACGCATGAAACATCCATGTTGACAGGAGAAAAGGTGGTCTGATCCGAGTGTCTTTCGGGCAATGGTTTTAGCATTGTTTTGACACTGGAAACATCACTGAACGTATTTTTTGTCCAACACATTCTGTTGTACGCACATCCAAGCTTATATAACTGGTATGAAACATTCCCATATATGCACTTTTGTTTTTTTCCCATTTTTGTAATGTAGCTGACAAGCACTTAAAACAAAACATAAAACATGCATTTGACAGGGGAAAGGCGCTTTGATGTTCCAGTTGTCTTTCAGGCAATTGTTTTTTGTTTTTTGTTTTGCATTTTCCTTGGTATCACTGAAAATATGGTTCGTCCTACACATTCTGTTCCACGCGCATCAAGGTTTCAATAACTGTTTTGACATATTCCTATGCTCACCCCGTTCCGCACCATCACTTTTAGTACAGTAAAAAAACCTTAACACATCACCGCAAAAAACGGAAAAAAAAAACTGCATTTTGACCGAGGGAAATGTGGTCTGATCCTCTAAGTGTCTTTCTGCCAATGGTTTTCTCATTTTTTTCTTGACAGTGGAATCATCACTTAAAATATGGGTTGTCCCACTGATTTTGTTCTACGCACATCAAAGCGTATTTAACTGGTTTGATATGCTCCTATACTCACCCCGTTCTTTGCCCTCACTTTTAGTAATCGAAAAACACTTAAAACATCAACGCCTAAAACATGTTTTTTGACAGGGGGAAGGGTGGTCTGATGTTCTAAGTGTTTTGCCGGCAATTGTTTTTCTATTTTTTCTTGACGCTGGAACCATCACTGAACATATGGTTTGTCCCGCGCATTCTGTTCTACGCACATCAAGGCTGAAATAACATGTATGAAAAATTCCTATACTCACCCGGCCTTCTTCCATTACTTTTAGTATAGTGGACAAACATTTAAAACATCAACGCATAAAGCATGCATTTTGACAGGGGGAAAGGTGGCCTGATGTTTCCGGCAACGGTTTTAATGTTTTTTTAATATTGGAGTCATCACCGAAATATGGTTTGACCCACACAGTCTGTTCTGCGCATATGAAACTTAAATATGTGGTGTGAAGCGTTCCTATGTTCACCCCGCCTTTTTTTTCATTCCTGTTGGTGACCTTGGAGTGATGAAAAAATGGATTGTCCCACGCACTTTGTTCTATGCACATCAAAGCTTATTTAACTGGTTTGATATACTCCTATACTCATCCCTTTTTTTACCATTGCTTTTAGTATAGTCGAAAAACACCTAAGCATCAACACATAAAGGTGCATTTTGACAGGGGGAAGGGTGGTCTGATGTTCTAAGTGTTTTGCCGGCAATTGTTTTTCTATTTTTTCTTGACGCTGGAACCATCACTGAACATATGGTTTGTCCCGCGCATTCTGTTCTACGCACATCAAGGCTGAAATAACATGTATGAAAAATTCCTATACTCACCCGGCCTTCTTCCATTACTTTTAGTATAGTGGACAAACATTTAAAACATCAACGCATAAAGCACGCATTTTGACAACGGGAAAGGTGGCCTGATGTTTCCGGCAACGGTTTTAATGTTTTTTTAATATTGGAGTCATCACCGAAATATGGTTTGACCCACACAGTCTGTTCTGCGCATATGAAACTTAAATAACTGGTGTGAAGCGTTTCCAATTTTCACACTGTTTTTTTCTCATTCCTGTTGGTGTCATTGGATTCAATCCCACACACTGTGGTCTACGCACATCAAAGCTTATTTAACTGGTTTGATATACTCCTATACTCATCCCGTTTTTTACCATTACTTTTAGTATAGTGGAAAAAACACCTGGAACATCAACACATAAAAGGTGCATTTTAACAGCGGAAAAGGTGGTCTGATGTTCCAAATGTCTTTCCGGCAAAGGTTTTGTATTTTTTCTTGACACTGGAGTCATCACTGAAAATATTGTTTGTCCCACGCATTCTGTCCTACGCACCTTACAGCCCAAATAACTGGTTTAAAACATTCCTATATTCACCGTGGGGTTTCCATTTTTTAAAGCATTGTGGGCAAAAAATAGAGAGTCAACACATAAAACACACATTTTGACAGCGGAAAAGGTGGTCTGATGTTTTCAGTGTCTTTCCGGCAATTGTTTTCATTTTCGTATTTTTTGGACACCAGACTCATCACTGAAAATTGGGTTTGTCCCACACATTCTGTTCTACACGCATCAAAGCTTGAATAACTGGTATGAAACATTCCTACACTCACTCCGCCTTTTTCCATTCCCTTAAATACAGTTGACAAACGCCTAAACCATCAACACATGAAACACACATTTTGCCACGGGAAGAGGAACTCTGATGTTCCAAGCGTCTTTCCGAATATTCGTACACTCACCCCGCCTTATTCCATTTCTTTTGGCATAGTGGACAAACACGCAAAACAAAATATAAAACATGCATTTTGACAGTGGAAAAGGCGCTCTGTCTGATGTTCCAGTTGGTTTGTCGGCAATTGTTTTTGCATTTGTTCTTGACAGTGGAACCATCACTGAAAATATGGTTTGTCCGACACATTTTGTTCCACGCACATCAAAGTTTCAATAATTCGTTTTAAACATTCTTATGGTCACCCCCTTTGTTCCATTACTTTTGGTAAAATAAACAACATAAATTGAACATCAGCACATTCAACGTGCATTTTGACAGAGGAAAGGTGGTCTGCTGTTGTAGGTCTCTTTCCTGTAAAGGTTTTGATATTTTTTCCCTGGAGTCATCACTGAAAATACCTGCTTGGAAACATGCCCATGTTCACCCCGCCTTTTTCCATTATATAGTGGTAGTATAGTGGATATAACATCATCTTATAAAACACGCATTTTGACAGGGGGTCTGATGTTCCCATTGTCTTTCCGGCAGTGGTTTTGTTGTTTCATCTTGACACTGGAGTCATCATTGGAAATATGTTTTGTCCCACACATTCTGTTCTACGCACATCAAAACTTAAATTCCTGGTTTCAAGCATGCCTATACTCACCCCGCCTTTTTCCACTAATTTTACCACGGCGGACAAACATTTAAAACATCAACACGTTAAACCTGCATTTTGACAGCGGAAAGGGTCGTCTGATGTTTCAAGTGTCTTTACCGCGATGGTTTTTGCATTTGGCACGGG